AAAACCCCATTACTATAGAGTCAATTCCAACTCATAGCAACGCTACCTAGGGTTTCCAAGGCCATACGGATTAAAGAATGACTTACCTTCTTGTGCCACTTGTAGAATCATTATCGGTCGATAAAAATACCTTCCCTCAGACTACCAGTTATGAACCTTCACCAATGGATGAAAAGAGAATAAAGAAATTGTAAACTAGCAAAGTCAATTATAAGCTTGCCAATTAATTTTATTGTTAATTGGACCTCTGAGGCATATTTTTGGAGAAGTGGTTAGTGCTGAGTTCAATTCGACATATCAATTGCTATATATCTGGAAATGTAAATTAAATTACAATTCATGAAAATTTCATAAAAATCTATGTAAAACACTCTAAATATGGATATCATAATCATGTGTATACATAGCTGTTTCAGATGCAAATAGTTTCCCTTTTCAAATCCAACTGGATAGAAACTGTATACATAAAGTTCAACTTGAAGGCACTTAGCATATTGCCTTTTAAACGGTTAAGTGCGGCCATTTCCTTACTACTCCCTTTGGCCCTTACAATTGGATCTCACTTTCCTTATATAGTCCACTGCAGGCTTTGGGCGTAATTGCCAATGCCATTTTCCCTGGTGGAAGCACACATATTTGCAGAATGTGGCAATTTAATGGCCTCTTAAGACATCATTCTGTCTCAAGACATCTCCTCAATTATGATACTGAATAGGAATAAAGTGCTTTAGAGCAACTGGTGACACCTCCACAATATATAAATATACACCCAAATCTCCAGATAATATGTATACAAGTTTAGAAAATCAATCCTGTTTTCTCATATTACAGATAGAGTCTTATCACATCCAGGGCCAGCCATTATTTCTCTCCATGAAAAGTCAGTGGAAATGAAATCTGCTTAAAATACTTTAGCATGTGAATTACTTTGATAACTGAAAAGCAGGAGCACAAACTCACTTAATACTGGAGAACACACATGCTCAGGTGGGTTTGATTAAGATAGGGTGTTTTTCAAAACCATACAAAATTTATATATACCTGTATAGGTATATATATAGATATAGATATCTGGATTCTCCAAGTATCTGAGATGGCTGAAAAAAGTTTGTGGGAAAACCTCTTCTATAGAATATAAAAAATAAGTTAAATCAGCATCTCATCGTGAGTTAATTTTTGATAAGGGCCTTTTCTACGGTAATAACTTGCATTTATATGTAATAGGCTCTATCTGTGTAATAATCTTTCAGGTGAAATCTGTAAAAGTGAAAACTCAGATACAGGACTTAGTGCTTAAAAAATAAATCCCTCCAGGCAGTCTGTCATTTTAAAAGATGGTGTGTATTGACATTACATATTAACATGCATGCACACACATCGCCAGGGAGCCCATTTCAACTCGTCATGATCCTATGTGTGTGTGGTTTATTACCTTCAAACAGATTTATGAATAAAATATTGTTTTTAAGTATTTTTCCACAAAATTATGCCCCAACAAAACTTTGTCTGGCAAATCAATGAATTGCAAGAGAGAACCAAAGAGTAAACAAAGCCTATTTTTATTGAGTGAATAAAAACTTGTATATATGCAAGAAAAGTAAAAAGCTGTTGTAATTTTTAAAATCCAGTAGGCCCCCCACTGCATAAACAGTATCAAGTAGAAATATCACATTTTATTCTGAATTTTAGGGATAGGTTCTATAGGTGACATATATCCCTATAAGAATATATATATAAAAACAGAAAAGAATATATATTTTTTTATTGTAATGTTCTGTTAACATCACAACCTATATTTTATGCTCTATGTGGATAATGTTGATATTTCAGACATGGCGAATTTTAAACACTGTCTAAAATAGTGTACCCTCAACGGATAATTCAATAAATATGTCAAATTTTATTAGGTTGAGTAGTAGGTGGTATTGATAGCCAGATGTAACACAAATGTACAGTACTTAAGAAACATTAATATTCAATTCTTCAATGTTTTTATTAAATCTTGTACAATCCTCAATATCATCTCAACTCCCAATACTTTTGCCAATCACAGCTTAAATTAGCTTTTAAATGACAAAGATCAATACTTCATATATTGCCATACAGTTACACACTTGATAAAATTTGCACAAATATTTAAATGCTTTTTATATTTAAATACATGTCAAATGATTTCTCTTCAATGACAATGTCATTTGCTTTTAGAAGTTTAGTCAAATCATTCTCTTCCAACACAATGCTACTATCTTAAGATTTCTTGGAACTGTAAAACTTTTCAACCACAAGAATGTACAGGTGTCCCAGACATATGTAGTCAAAAGTCAATCTTTCTCTCTGTAATATTTACTTTTCCCCAAGCAGAGAAAGTATGTTTTACTTATTTTTTCTTTCATGATAATCAGAAAGGGTAATAATTACATGGCACACGTGTATATTGTACATAGACAATATGCATACGAACCCAAAGAAAGCAAACACTGCCATCAGGTCGATGCTGACTCATAGCGACCCCGCGGTGGTTGCGAGACTGTTGGCAGCAATAGACGCCCAGTCTTCAGCCCCTGGAACTGCTGCTGGTGGTTTGGAAGGGCCAGCCCCGTGGCTCGCAGCCCAACGCATAACCGCTACGCCTCCAGGCGTAAGTCCATCATACATAATTCATTTTAATACATTACTTTGTATCTTTTGCTGAAAGGAAGGAGCCCTGGTGGCACCATGGTTAGGCACTCCGGTGCTAACCCAAAAGGCAGCAGTTCCTCGGTAAAGACTGACAACAGCCCTGAAAGCTCTCTGGGGCAGGGCAGTCAGCTATCTTACGGTACCTGGAGTCCCCCACGGACCGCGCTGAGCTCGGGTCTTTCATAGAACGGTGGAACGGAGACAGTGACACTTATTCTCGGCCCCTTCACCCGCTCCCCAGGATAGACTGGCTGCATCTTTCTGTAGCATCTCACTGCACAGGTATGGCTTTAAAACAAGGTACAAGTCACAACAAGTTCTTATGTTTTGTAATCCCCTCCACCTGAACAACAGAGGGGGAAGTGCATGACATGTGCGTGCTTCAGGGTACGGCATATTTACATCAATCATTTTTACATATAGCCTATGCGATGTATGATATAATCAATTCAGACCTAGACTACATAACGTACAGTTATTATCAAAAGTTAGATATTGTGTCACAGTACTAAAAATAAAATATATTCTTCTCAAATAGTGAAAATAAGATATCCTTCACGTTTTTAGTCATATACAATCTTTCTTCTGACCATGCTTTTTTAAAATGAAATAATGTCCAACATTTATTTAACAATGACAGTGTGGCCCACGAGATGATTATCTTGCCATTAATTTTCTGACATAGCCTCCAGTTGCATCTACTACAGGGTAAGAAATATTAAAATAATAGATAAATATAAATAACATCTCAGTAATTAAAAAATCAAAAGTCCAACTGTACCTTTTAACTGTTTTTAATACACAGCAGTTGCTGGACCCTGGACAAGTACAGCAACTAGCCGGATATCACACGCCCACCCTCACCCCCACCCCTGCCAGGCGCTGCGACTCTCTGCTTGGGCAGGAAGACACTGAAAGGCTCTTGTCGTTTGGGGAGGGTGCGTGACTCCCCCGAAAGGGCCGGCTTTGATCCCACCCAAGCGCTAGTAGCTTCTCAGCCACTAGCTCAGCAATGGCGGGCAGGGCACCTGGCCCCTCACCCTCCGCCCATCCCAGGAAGCCACTAGCAGTCCAGGAAGGAGGGCAGGGGGTGTGACTGCTCCCCTTTCTCCACGTCCCAAAGGAAGACGCCCTGCGAACGCCTCGCCGAAGGGCTCACGTGTTCACTAAGATTCGGGAAGCAGGCACTTACGAGTGAACTTCAAGCCGAAGAAAGGTCGAGGGCTGGGCTCCAAGTTGCGCTCCCGCGGCGCCGGCCGAAGGTTCCTGGCACCGGTGGAAACAAGGGCAAACTTGGGACCCCGGGGGAGAGGGGTGGCGTGGGACCCGATCCCAAGGCCGAGCGAGGGGCGGTGAGGCCGGGGTGCCGGTCGGAATCGGAGCCAGCGCGCCCCGCCGGCTGCCGGTCCGCGCGCCGCGCTCAGATGAGCGGGAAGCGCCTCTGGCCGCCGTCGGGTTCTCCGGCGCCGCCACCCCGCGGGTGCCCGAGGACCGACACGGGCAGCACGACGTCCCCGGGGCTGAGCTGCTGCAGCCGCATGGACTCCTCGTAGGTCGGCAGGTACTTCACCTCCTCGTAGCTGGGCAGCTGCAGGAAGACGGGCGACACCACGCGCAGCTCGTGCTCCGAGGCGCCGGCCGCTGCCGGGCGCCCCCCGCCTCCGCGGCCCCGGCGGCCGCTGTCCAGCAGCGAGTCCTGCGAGCCGGCGGTGGCCTCGTCGCGCAGCAGCGCGGGCGCGTCGTCGTCGTCGTCGGGGGGCCCCGCGGGCCCCGGCTGCCCGGGCCGAGGCTGCCCGCGCGGGTACCTGCCCCGGGGGCTGGGGCAGATGATGCGCTGCAGGAAGTAGCCGATGCCGAAGAGCACGAGCAGGATGAAGAGCCCCGAGAGCTTGCGCACGAACCAGCCCACGTTGTCGAGGAAGGCGTGCAGCGGCAGCTTGCAGCAGCGCACCGCCGTGCCGTTGGCCGCGTCGCAGCAGCGCTCCCGCTCGCCGCACGCCAGCTCCG